AAGGGTCCCGGGTTCGATTCCGGTCAAGGGCATGTACCTGGGTTGCGGGCACATCCCCAGTGGGAGGTGTGCAGGAGGCAGCTGACCGCTGTTTCTCTCTCATTGATGTTTCTAACTCTCTATCCCTCTCCCTTCCTCTCTGTAGAAAACGAATAAAATATTAAAAAAAAAAAAAAAGAAATAAAAAGCAAGACAAATCCTAATAAATAAAATGTATGAGTGTAGGTGATCTGGCTGAAGGTATTGGCAGCCAATGAGACAATTCCAGGAGACCTCACGGTTCTTATCAACACAATTAAAAACCCCTAGGCCCTTCTGAGGGAAGGTCAGCTATCTTCTACTCCAAGAAACTTACTTGGTTCTACCTGGCAAACCCATCTACTCCTACTCCCTATTTCCTCACAGGAGGCTTCCAGAGCCAGCCCTGAATGAGCTACATGACTGAAGAAATGTATGGTTGTGTATGAATAAACAGAAGCAAGGACAAAAGTTGTTAACAGAGGAGTCATTTTGGACACAAGAGTTCATGAGGGGAGTGTTGGCCAAACAAAGAAGGGACATCATAAACAGAGACATACCCACACACTCACATGCCTATATACACACGCATGCCCACATACACGCATACTTGCAACCCTGCCTGCACACACGCACATGCACACACAATAAAGCGGGGGGGGAGCCCTTGGGGAAAGTAGATCTGTGGAATGAACATCTCAGAACCATACCCAGCTCATCTTATCCTGAAAAAAACTATAGAGCAATTCTCTTCAAATTTTAAGGTGTGTATGAATAATCTAGGGATCCTGTTAAAATTGAGGTTCTGACTTAGTAAGTCCTTGGTAGGGGCCAGAGATTCTTCATTTCCTTTTTTTTAATCTTTATTGTTGAGATTATTACAGATATCCCTCTTTTTCACCCCATAGCTCCCACCACCCGGGTCCCACCCCACACCCCAGGCCCTCACCACCCTACTGTCTGTGTCCATAGGTTCTGCATACATGCATATAAGATCTCTGTCTAATCTCTTCTCGCACACACCCACACACGCTTCCCTCTGAGAATCGTCCGTCTGTTCCATTTCCATGCTCCTGATTCTATTCCATTCATGTTTACTCTGTTCATCAGATTTTTTATTCGACTTTTATTTTTTTTTAATATATTTTATTGATTTTTTATAGAGAGGAAGGGAGAGAGATAGAGAGTCAGAAACATCGATGAGAGAGAATCATCGATCAGCTGCCTCCTGCACATCTCCTACTGGGGATATGCCCGCAACCCAGGTACATGCCCTTGACCAGAATCGAACCCGGGACCTCTCAGTCCGCAGGCCGACGCTCTATCCACTGAGCCAAACCGGTTTCGGCTTTTATTCGACTTTTAGATTCACTTGATATGTATTCGTTGCCACTTTGTTTATAATTTTTTATCTTTACCTTCTTCTTCTTCTTAAAAAATACCCTTCAGCATTTCATATAATACTGGTTTGATGGTGATAAACTCCTTTAGCTTTTTCTTGTTTGTGAAGCTCTTTATCTGACCTTTAATTCTAAATGATAGTTTTGCTGGGTAGAGTATTTTTGGTTGTAGGTTCTTGCTATTCATCACTTTGACTATTTCTTGCCACTCCCTTCTGGCCTGCATACTTTCTGTTGAGAAATCAGCTGACAGCCATATGGGTAATCCCTTGTAGATAACTGTTTTTTTCTTGCTGCTTTTAAGATTCTTTCTTGTCTTTTGCTCTTGGCATTTTAATGATGATGTGTCTTGGTGTGGTCCTCTTTGGATTCCTTTTGTTTGGGGTTCTCTGCGCTTCCTGAACTTGTAAGTCTATTTCTTTCACCAGGTAGGGGAAGTTTTCTGCCATTATTTCTTCAAATAGGTTTTCAATATCTTGCTCTCTCTCTTCTTCTGGAACCCCCATAATTCAGATGTTGGTATGCTTGAAGTTGTCCCAGAGGCTCCTTACACTATCACATTTTTGTATTCTTTTTTCTTTTTGCTCTTCCAGTTGGGTGTTTTTTGCTTCTTCGTATTTCAAATCATTGACTTGATTCTTGGGATCCTCTAGTCCAGTGGTTGGCAAACTGCGGCCCCTTGAGTTTGGCTCTTCCACAAAATACCATGTGCGGGCACACACGTACAGTGCAATTGAAACTTCGTGGCCACACTCAAGGGACCAAAGAGCCACATGTGGCTCACAAGCTGCAGTTTGCCGACCACTGCTCTAGTCTACTGTTGAGTCCCCATATCTTATTCTTTATTTCAGTCAGTGTATGCTTAATTTATGACTGTTCCTTTTCCATTTTTTTGGCATTCTCGCTAAGATCCTTGAAGGTCTAAGTTCCTCGGAGGTTTCTAGAAGATTCTTGAGTAACTTTATAATTGTGGTAAAGTAGTTTGCTTTCTTCCATTTCTTTCATTTGTGACATGCTTCTTCCTTTTTTAAAAAAATATATTTTATTGGTTTTTTACAGAGAGGAAGGGAGAGAGATAGAGAGTTAGAAACATCGATGAGAGAGAAACATCGATGAGAGAGAAACATCGATCAGCTGCCTCTTGCACACCTCCTACTGGGGATGGGCCCACAACCCAGGTACATGCTCTCGACCAGAATCGAACCTGGGACCCTTCAGTCCAAAGGCCGACACTCTATCCACTGAGCCAAACCGGTTAGGGCATGACATGTTTCTTTGTCTCTGCATTTTGGCTGCTTCCCTTTCTCTATATTGAGTAGCTGCTAATTCTCCTTGAGTTGATAGAGTGTCCTTGTGTAGTAGGTGTCCTATAGGGCCCAGTGGCTCAGCCTCCCCAATCACCTGAGGTGGACACTCTTGGTGCACCCCTTTGTGGGCTGTGTGCACAGTCTTGTTGTAGTTGAGCCTTGATTGCTGTTGGTATCACTGGGAGGAATTGAACTCCAGGCCAACTGGCTGTGGGGACCAGCTGTGACGACAGTGGGAGAGCTGCTGTGCAGGAGACACTCTTATGGGGCAGTACTTGCTTCAGTGGGGCTTTGGTGCTCACTGAGTCTGCCCCTTGAGTGTGTCACTTATGGATGTGAAAAGTTGTAATCTGTTATGGTCTCACACTGACCACTGGGTACAGTGGCTCTTGGATCTCCAAGGAGGTACAAAGTCAGCCATTGCCTGGGGCCACCCAGCAGGAGCTAGAGAGAGATCTGCAGATTTCTCCTCTTTGTATCAGGTTTGGAAGTGCCCAGAGGAGACCCAGCTGTGAAGCAAGGCAGGCTGGTGCTGGTCCTGGTCTTGGGCTTTTATTAACCCTTTGATTGCCGACCAATATCCTAGGAACTATGCTAAAATTGCCAAGGCATTTTTGCTGATTTTACAGCAGTTTAGGAAAAAAATTATGAATCTCAAGTAAATGAAGTTACATATTCAAAAACTTAAGGAAACCTTTACTACATTTGTTTTTATCTTTGACATATACTGTTTGGTGATTGTATTATAAAATACTAGTAGAAAAAAATTGGAACAAAACATATAATGTTAAAAGAGGGAGACCCTTCTCCAATATCTTCCACAAAATTGTCATCTTCACAGCAAGAATTGACATATTTAGCAATATCATTATCACTAATAAAAGCAGACTTAGAACTGGAAGCCATTTCAAAGCTTTAGGGCTACAAAATCTGAGTAAACTTCATAAAATCGTAGTGCCTGTAAAAAATTAGGCAGATAAATGTCAGTGGTCAATTTTAGAACTACAAACATTCTGCATCATAAGTAACCTGCACTTAGGTGCCATCTGTCAATAAAGAGTGAACTACTAGCATCTAATAGTGACACTGTAGGAGGAGTGTGATAGCGCTCCTGGTACTTTTGATGAAAGACAGGAGTGCGATCAAGCTCCCCGGCACTCTAGAGGTTAACAGCTTTAGGGCTCCCTGATCCAGCTGCAGCTTGACAGCTTTTAGGCTGAGAAAGGACAGTCCATTTATATGCAAAAGTCACTGCAAACAGCTTGGGTGGGTGGGGTTGTAAATTGGGTGGGGCAGGGTCTCAGGGAATCTCCAGGGTGGAGCCAACAGAAATGTCTGCCAGTCAGCCCTGCACAGGGAGGTCCCAACACAGCAACAATGACCAATGTGAATACCTCCATCTGGAAGAAAGTCACCCCCGTGTTTCTGCCCTGAAGCCAGACAGTCCAGTTTCTCCCTATACCTGTCTGGGTCCCCCAGAGCCTTGCCTGGCACTGGAGCTCAGAGCAAGCAGGAGCTTGTGAATTCAGTTTGCAGTGCTGGCCTTTTAATAGTAGTAGCTTGTTCTCTAGCAGCCTGTGTGTCACTCAGCCCCAATCCGCACTGGTTTTTACAGCCCAGAGAGACTTCTTTCCTCAGCTCTGGGACCCTGGGCTGGGGGTCTGGTGTGGGACTGGGACTCCTTGCTCCTCCAGGCTGCCTCCAAAGAGGTGATCTCCCTCCCAATTAAAAAAGCAGCACACCCGGGTGCCGGACCAGCCCGTCCCATGCCTCCGCACCTCCTACCAGTCAGTGTGCTTTCTTCTTTACCTCTCTAGTATTAGTATTTCCACTCATCCAGCTTTCCCACGGTTCTGGATGATAGTTCTGAATTATAGTTGTAATTTTGATGTGGTTGTGGGAGGCAGCAAGTACAGGCATTTACCTATGCCGCCATCTTGGTTCCCTCCTTTTTTCTGAATCTTTTATTCATTTTAAAGGGAGGGGAAGGAAGAAGGAGAGATAGAAATATCGATCACGCCTCTTACTGGAGATCGAGCCCTCAATGTGTACATATGCCCTGAAATGGAATCCAACTGGTAACCTCTTAGGGATTGGGATGATGCTCAACCAACTGAGTCACATTGGCCAGGGCAAGATCTTCATTTCTAAAGGACACCCAGGTGATGCCAATAACCCTGTTCTTTAGACCAACTTCAATAGCCAGGGCCTACAGAACAATTATGTCCCAACATGTTCTGGTCAAATAAGGTTGAGAACACTCAAATAAAACAAGTTGTTCTTCTAAAAAACTTTTATTAAACTCCATGAAAATTACATACAATATTTTCAAACTTTCTTGATTTCTTGTTTTCAAAGAGCATTCCCTAGGATTAGTGTCTGTGAAACACACTGGAGCATAGAGGATCAGGCAAGGTGAAAGCAGTCAGGGGAAGTCAGAGAAGGCCACCAATTTGGAAGTCTCCTCCTTTCCCCCATTCTTCCAAACAGATACCTCAACTTCCACTTTTAAATGCTAATATCTATGTGTAAAAAGACAGAAAATAAACACATTAAACACAACAAAATAGCTATCTCTGGCTGGAGATATTATGACTAGGGGCCCTGTGCACGATTTCGTGCACCTTGAAAGGAACTGTGGGCCATGAGGCTGTGGTGGGCACAGGGGTGGGTCTCGGCCCATTCTCCACGCTCCCGCCAGGCCTCTCCCGCCTCAGCCCCCCAGTCCCCTGTCTGCCAGCAGTGCCGCTGCTGCCACTCCCATGCGCTGACAGTGCTGGCCCCACTCACACCTGCTGACAGCGCAGAGCAATTGGGGCCAGCACCAGCAGTGGGTGGAAGTGGGACCAGTACCGTCAGTGGGTACAAGCGGTGGCTGCTGCCTCAACCACCCCTCAAGAGCAGGGGGAGATGGACAAGCGCTCAGGGGTGATCGGGGCTGGCAGCTGCCGCTCGCACCAACAGTGCAGAGCAATTGGGACCAGTGCTGGGCGCCAGCAGCAGGTGGAAGCGGCAGCTCTGATGCTGGCAGCGGGCGCGAGTGGGGTCGTTGCACGCAGCAGATGTGAAAGGTGGCTGCCGGCCCCGATCACCCCTCAGAAGCAGGGGGAGGTGGAAAAGCCCTGAGGGGCAGTCGGGGGCAGCAACTGCAGCTTGCACCCAATGACAGCACTGAGCGATTGGGGCCGGTGCCAGGTACCAGCAGCAGGTGTGAGCGTCGGACAGGACCATGGCACATGGAAGCAAAGGATTTTCAGTAACCACCAGAGGTTCGCTCCAATGACAGCGACCGGTGCCCCACCTTGGCCTGGCACCCCCGCTCACCTGCTCCACCATCCCACTGCGGCCAACACCTGCCATGTTTGACACTCTGCAACCTTCTGCTGACGTCTGCCACGTTCTGCGTGCGCCCCCTGGTAGTTAGCGCACGTCATAGCAACCGGTTGTCCGATTGTTGCGCAGTTTGGTCTATTTGCATATTAGCTTTTTATTATATAGGATGGTGGACATTCCTACTTTCCTCCTTATACTTCTTCATTCTTTTATTATCTTCAATGAGCATGTACCAGCAGCAGGTGTGAGCTTTTGTAATCAGAATGATCTTAAGGAAAAAACGCTACCAACCATGCTCACTTTTATTTACATTCACATTTGAATGAATTACTTTATTCAGATTACTTTATTAAGCAGAAAAGATTTTCTAGCAAAGAGAGCTACTAGAGAAGAAAATAAAGAAATCAGAACATTTTTTAAATGTTAAAATTAATTTTAGAGAGAAAGGAAGGGAAAGGATAGACACACAGAAACAGCAATTAGAAAGAAACATTGATTGGCTGCCTCCTGCATGCCCCCTACGGGGATCAAGCCCACAACTTGGGCATGTGCACTGACCAGGAAAGGAACCATGTGCTCCTGGTTCATGGGTCGATGTTCAACGACTGAGCCACACCAGCCAGGCAGGAATCAGAACATTTTAGGATGTAGGCTAGAAATGAACATTGGTGAGGAGATTTTGGGCCTTAGGGGAACAAAAGATAAATAGCAAAAAGGGATGGAAAAAGACAAAGACCAAAACAACTTTGCCTACTCTGCAGATGCACCTGGAGCTATAAAAACTTTTTATCATAAATGCACATTCATATATACATATATAATCAAATTGGTTATTAATTATACTATTAGTGATCCTTATTATTGATATCACACATAAAAGGGGAAATAATATTTACTGGGATTGTTCTAAGAAATACTACGATATCAAAGAAGACAAGATACACAGCACAATAAATGCTACTATAAAAGACAACAAAATGAAGTTTGTTAATATTTATACTTCAACTACACCAAGCCTATCAACAATAAAATGGTCAAATAACTGTGAATGGAATGTTAGCCAGCAATAAAAATGAATGAAAACATATATATTTGTTAACATAGGGAAAATAACTGATAGTACTTAGTTCTTCATTCATTATAATGCTAGCCCAGATTTTAACGTAAGTTGTTATTACATTAGTTATAAGTAATAGGTTTAGTGTTAGAAGTTATCAAGTTGTACCACACTAGATCTAGATATAATGAAATTTACAAGAAATCCTTATGAAGTTAACTTGCCAACAAATTTAAATGCTACCATGGCTAGGTAATAAAAAGAACTGGAAATGCAAATACCTGAATCTGACACTAATTAGTTAGTGACCTTGAACAAATCACAATCTTTCCAGGCTTGTTTCTTACCTGTCAAAGGATGCGAGGCCAGAGCCATGAGTTCCAACAAATAGTAAAGACCAAACCCAGTAGATTGCTATATGTTGCCTGGCAGTTCTCTAAGACAATACCACAACAAGAATACTCCAAACTAAGCTGAAAATCCTAACCAAGGAAGGTTTGCAAACAATAGTGGCCTCAACCCATTTCAAAAGTTTTAATGCAAACATCTGTACCTGAAACCCCTCAGGATCTTCCCTCTGAAGACTATCTTACCACTTTACCATTAAGGTTTCAAGTAATAAAAACTAGCCTGTCTCAAGAAATGACTAAATATTATGAAAGCTCTTGAAAAGTTCCTTCCAGCTCTGAAATTCTCTCAATCTCTCTCGCAACACCCTCAAAGAACTTAATACATATATGCATAAACAATGGACACAAACAATGGTGTGGTGAAGGCCTGGGGGGGGAGCTGGTGGGGGGAAGGCTGGGAGGAGGGAGGTAAAGGAGGAGTAAATATTATATTGGAAGACATCTGTAATACTGGCAACAATTAAATTAAATTAAATTAAATGGGGGGGTAGAGATTTTAACAAACATGAAAGTCAATAAACAAAGACATTGTAGGTGTTCAATATTTATTAAATGAATAATTTACAAAGACATTATGACATTTTTATGCACTTGTAATACCAGTAAAATTACAACCTATAAAAGATGAATATTTAAGGTCAATATGTCTTTCAAAACAAAACAAAAACTAACGTTACATTAAATCCTTGAATAAAACTTGATACTCCAGAGAATGCTAATCTTTCTACCAAAGTATGCTGGCCCTGTATCTAATATTGAAGGAAAGAGGAGTAAGCAAAGAAACCTTTTACCCAAACAGGATTGTTTTATAAACCTGTTTATCAGAGATGGAAGGGTGAAAAGATGAACGAGTCAAAACAACCTGATTCTCAATCTGGGTTCTAACACTAAACTGTGATGAGATGACCATCTTCCTTTCCTCCATGTAGGGTGGTTTGATGAGCAAATAGAAGGACATATAGGAAAGAATTCTGAATACAGTACAGTACTACATAAATGAAATTTAAAGATATTGCTTTTACTGAATTCCTACCCCCACCCCACAAATCACCAATAGTACAAAAAAATTAATTTTGCAATAATAAATTAGCATTCTTTAGCATTTTTTAATTTATTTTATTTTTTTTTTAGAGAGAAAAACATTGATGTGATAAACAAACATCAATTGGTTGTCTCTGATACGTGCCCCAAAGACCAAACCCAAAACCTGGGTATGTGCCCTAACTGGGAATCGAACCCACAACCTTCTGGTGCCAGGGACAAAGCTCCAACCAACTGAGCCACACTGGCCACGGCCATATATTATATGCTTACAAAAACATACTTAACAGTAATGGCTACCATTTAGTGAACATTTACTATGTAAAAGTCACTGTGGAAAGACCTTTACAGAAATTAGCTCATTAAAGCTTCTCAGCAATGCTTTTTAAAGAAAAACAAAAAACCTGAGTAGCATTGCCAATATAACCAATAAGATAGCTGAAGAAATACCGATTAAATTTAATAATGTAGTACTATTACAAAATTATTTTATTCTCAAAAAAGGTGGTTTCTGGGATGAGTAAATACTAAATATATTTAAATGTAACAGTCTATAATATCCTATGTAAATTTGTCATCAGCAAGTAATCATTTTAGTCTTCTAAAATCTTCAATTATATAACAACTATAATTTTAAAAAGTTTCTTTTAAAAACATACACATCTACACACACACACATACATATATACATGTACAAAGAGATAAAGAGAAGGTTTTGCCTAGTAATGAAGTGGCAGCTTCATCTGGCTAAAATTTCTTGAGACAAGTAATCCAACAAATTAGAAATTGGCCATGATGTTAAAGCACATTTTAGCTTAAGTGCTTATTAATAATGGCCACAGCAATAACTGATTTCATACTTAACTTGAGCACAGGACTTCTCAAAAAACTAGGACTGTGTTGGAAAATTAATTTAAATTATTTCTGTTTACTCCCTAGTGATATCTTCTTTGCTAGAATTCAAATTCTCAGAGAGCTGGAGCTGAGTCTCTCATCCACAATTCTATAGTTCAGGCATAATTCCTGGCATATGGTAGGTGTCTAATAAGCATTTACAGAATTATAGAATTTTTTTACTTCTATTTATTTCTGATAGTTCACACATGTATGCAGGAGGTACTCTCCAAATTATGACTTATACAACCTGTTTCAAAATTCCAACTTTTTTCAAAGCTTATTTAAAATAAATAAAATTTCCTTTTTAATACCTGTTCCTCTTTTACCAAACCTTTATTGAACATATTACTTCCCAGGCACTTTGTCAAACATTTTCAAAAAAGATCATGAAAAACTCTTATTTCCTTAGAAACTGATAGCATAAAAAGAGAGTAAATGCATATATGTAACAGAACTATAGTATGCTGAATGATATAATAAAGGTAAACATCACAAATTAATTTTGAGGGACTATTTGGATCCTAGAAAGAGAATATGGTTATTCTCATAACATTAACCAAAGAGCCATCCTCCCTTCTCTGATTAGCTTGTCCTCTGAGAAAAAATACTCAGCTTCCTGAGAAAGCATGAATCCGTGCTGGATTTATGAAAAAATGCTAAAGCTAGACGGAGTACAGAATGAGATATGCACAAAAGACAAACAAAAGAAGGCAAGTTTGGGATGTGCCTAGATCGGAGAATATCAGAGGAAATAGACACATGAGCTGGGTCTTTTTTTCTCTCTCTCTTTCTTTTTAAATATATTTTTTATTGATATCAGAGAGGAAGGGAAAGGGAAAAACAGACAGAAACATCAATGATGAGAGAGAATCATTGATCGGCTGCCTCCTGTACGCCCCCTACTGGGAATCGAGCCTGCAACCTGAGCATGTGCCCTTGATCAGAATTGAACCCGGGACCCTTCAAGTCCTCAGGCTGACACTCTATTCACTGAGCCAAACCGGCTAGGGCATGAGCTGGGTCTTGAAGTATAGTTAACTAGGTAGGCAAAATGATAATGAAATTCTAGAAAGATATCAGTGACTAATCCTGTTAGTCCTACTATGAACAACTAGATGCAGTAAAAAGTACAAGATGAAGGAAAATTCCATTATTTTCTTCATGTCTATCCAATTTCTATACTTGTTAGGTGTCTGCTAATTTGTATAATTTATCTTAAAAGCAGTAAGTTCACATATAAATGAAGATTAGTTCAATTTAATAATTAAATTTAATTTGTTCCATTAATTTAAAACTCAGTAGTTCAAAGAAATGCACTATATGAATTCTAAATTGTTTTTCAATTAAACAATTTCAAATAGCATAAATTTCTATTTAGTTTTAGTATATTTTATTTTTTGATAGATCCTCAATGTCAACCATCTTTTTTTTTTTTTTTTTTAAATATATTTTATTGATTTTTTACAGAGAGGAAAGGAGAGAGATAGAGAGTTAGAAACATCGATGAGAGAGAAACATCGATCAGCTGCCTCCTGCACATCTCCTACTGGGGATGTGCCCGCAACCCAGGTACATGCCCTTGACCGGAATCGAACCTGGGACCTTTCAGTCCGCAGGCCGACGCTCTATCCACTGTGCCAAACCGGTTTTGGCAACCAACCATCTTAACTTTAAAAGTCATTCAACAGAGATCTTATAATTTAGTTGAGAAATATGTTTTATAATATGCTATACTCTTTCATGACTTCAGTAGTTAATTTCTCATTTTTAGCTGTATTATATAAATTTCAATAGTCTGGATAACAAGACCTAAATAAGTGGTGGAAGTGAGACGATAAAAGTAAAAACCATAAAACGTTCCAAAGTTGTTTCTTTAAAATGCTAAGGTATTCATGTATAACATCATCTTTGAAATAATGCTAAAACATGAAACTAACATGTCAATTTTAAAACAATAAACATAGACCTAGCCAGCATTGCTCAGTGATTAGAGGTCGGCCCTCACACTGGAGGGTCTCAGGTTTGATTCCTGGTCAAGGGCAAGTACCTGGGCTGCAGGTTCGATCCCGATCCATGTGTCCCTCTCATATTGAGATCTCTCCTCCCC